AATTTAGGCATACAACATTTTAGAGGTATTTTTATGCGGAATACCTTACCGAAGAAAATAAATCGGAACGAATGCGGTATCGTAAACCTAGACGATGAAAATAACGACGGTACACATTGGACAGCGTATGTTAAGCTTGGCACACGTATTTCCTATTTTGATAGCATAGGACGGGTAAAACCACCCCACGAGCTAGTGCGCTATTTTCGAAGCGATGGTAGCAGGAACATTATTAAATACAATTACGATCACATACAACTTCCTAATTCTTTTAATTGTGGACATTTAGTGCTACGATTTTTATACAATAACGCACACTGATTGCGTTAGTTACATTATTATTGTCAAACGACAATGTCTTATACATTGACATTTACTGGTACGACATCTATTTTAAAAGCCTTCTTTCGACCGCCGCTTTTACTCAATGATGAGGATTATGTAATGGGGCTAACAAACTTTGAAACCTATAATAGTATACACAACGTTACACCAACAAATAATAAATTCAAATATGGTAATCAGATGATCACAATACCGCCAGGATGTTACGAGATATCCGACATAAATAACTACATAAATGCCCAATTAAACAGGACATCTGGAGATTACGTCGAACTTCAAGCTAACAACAACACTATGCAGTCGGTTATTAAAGCGAACCGGCCCATAGATTTTACTATAGAAAACTCGATAGGAGAACTGTTAGGGTTCGAGAAAAAAACTCTCAGTGCAGAAGAAACTCATACCTCCAGTCATACCATCAACATCTTAAAAGTTAATTCTTTGTTAGTGGAGTGCAGTATTACCACTGGAAACTTTAAAAATGGCGTACCAGCCCATACAATTCACCAGTTCTTTCCAAGTGTGCCAGCGGGGTACAAAATAATCGAACGACCTCTTACTGTAATTTATTTACCTATTAATGTTTCTTCGGTTACCAGTATAACCCTTAAAATACTTGATCAAGACGGCGACATTGTCAATTTTAACGGAGAAGTGATTACGATAGGGTTACACCTTAAAAAGGCGAATCATGGTTAAACGATATAATCAATGTGGGTGCAAGCACGATCACAATAAAAAGGCTCAAGTTGTTCGGTCGAAGATTAGTAAGGGTGCAACAGTCAAACCACTCACAGCCGTTAACAAAGCTTTTCTAAAATCTCTCGGCTTTACTACTTTACAATGAATATATTGGACGTAAATGAGAAAGTGCTTGTAGATAACAGCATAATAAACTATCAATATCATACTCATCAACCGTACACTACGAGATTTGGAAATAATGACGAAATTAGAATTCCAATACAAGAAGATATGTGCACTCTTCCTTCGGAAAGTCATCTCTACATTGAGGGAAAATTACTGCGAGAAGATGGGACGGCGTCACTTACCGCAAGATTTGTAAATAACGGTGTAGCATTCTTGTTTAGTGAAATTCGTTACGAAATAAACGGAATTGTAGTGGATTCCCTTACTAAAGCCGGATTATCATCGACAATGAAGGCTCTAGTTTCTTTAACCCCTAACGACAATACGCGATGTCAAATTTCCGGATGGTTTCCTACTGCTAATAGTACGGTTACTAGTCCAACGGGCCATTTTAACGTTTGTATTCCATTAAAGATGCTCTTGGGTTTTGCGGAAGACTACAGAAAAGTCATATTAAATATACGACAAGAACTTGTTCTAATCCGAGGTAATACAGATAATGACGCCGTAATATCTACAGCTGCGGATGAAGCTCTCAAAGTTGACATCGAGAAAATCTATTGGAAAGTCCCTCACATTATTCCGGCGCTGGCCGAAGAATTAGCTTTGACCAAATACATTGACAAGAAATCGGAGACACAGATAGCGTTTAGAAGTTGGGAAACGCACCTATACCCAGCTCTTCCACAAACTGATAAACATACGTGGGCGATAAAGACAGCAACTAGTTTAGAAACGCCCCGATATATTATCGTAGGTTTACAAACAGATCGGGATGGACAAGTTAGTAAAGATATGAGCAAATTTGATCACTGCGATATTAAAAATATTCGAGTCTTTCTCAATACGGAACGTTATCCTTACGATAATTTAAATATTAATTTCGGGAATAATCGATACGCAACTTTATACGACATGTACGCAAAGTTTCAATCTTCTTACTACGGCACAGAGAATCGACCATTACTTACACCGAAGCAATTTAAAGATTCGGCTCCTTTAATCGTAATTGATTGTTCAAACCAAAAGGAGGGTTTAAACTCGAAATCGGTGGTATTACGAATTGAATTTGAAACTAATGCGAACGTAGCGAATAATACTACAGCGTATTGCTTGATTTTACACGATCGGCTGTTTACGTACAACGCATTAACGAAAGCCGTAAGACAAATATAAAAACACCAACATAGGAAACGGATATACCACAACAAGAATGATGGTCGTAGTTGATGTACAAAGTTTTAAAACTTCAAAAAAGTGTTTTTCGCCAAAAGAACTTGCAATTTATAATGGAAAACAGATGGCTCATTTTGTCTTCAAGCCTCCATTTCCTTGGAGCAGCTTAGATAGCGAGTTCCAACGTCAAGCTAATTGGGTAACTCACAACCACCATGGAATTAAATGGGAGAGTGGCCATACACCGTCTCACCTATTTCCACTCATACTTCGTCATTTAATATCACCGTCAGATCACGTATACGTCAAAGGAAAGGAAAAGGCGGATATCATCCGAAAAGCTCTATCGCGGGACGTTATCGAGGTGGAAGAAGAACCAGCTCTTCCTTCATTAGAAGCAAATTGCTATTATCATATACGATCACCTTGTCATTGTGCTTTATCTAACGTCTATTACATTTATAACACCTATGTAATGCAGTAATTTTTTTAAATAAACAAAATATATTTTTTTTACTTTATTTATTGTACCGTTGGGACATTTTGATATGATTACATAATATGGGTTCTAACACAGATTCCGTGTTTTTAATTCTACATTTAAAACGATGTCGATCTAAAGCAGCAGTTTGCCATTGGCCTTTCCTTGCTTCTGTGTAAGCAAAGGACCAAGCTCGTATTACGTGAACTGTATTTTTTGTTTCGTCAAAGCTAACACGTTTCATTTTACAAAGTCTTTCAGACCCAATACACACATTTGCGTTTTAAAACATTTATAACAACCGTTTCCATTAATAAACTTATAACATACACGTTGAGCAGTTTTGTATACCTTAGCTAGTCTTAAACGATACACTTTTCTAAATATGAAATGTCTGTTATAGGCATCCCTTTCTAACTCTACAAAATTATCCAGCAAGCAACTAACATTCCTCTTGCTCTTCGTTATCTTCTTCTTCTCCTTCGTTTTCTGCTTCATTTTCCTCGTCACTGGAATCTGAATTATCCCAATGCTTCAAATCCTCTGCGGCACCTTCAAATCCAGCTTTGCAAAGTTGGCGTCTCAGACAAGTTAAACAGTATTTACCGTTCAGGAATAAATTACACAATTTAATACCGCGACTATATTTTTTAACAAGATCATTACACTCTTCTTCAGTACAAAAACGACCTAGTCCGTACACCGCTTCGTGTTCTGCGTCCTCCACTAAAGCTGACAGTTCTTGTACTAAACGTTCCACGGCCGTGTGTGCGTCAACTGCTTTCGTCCAATTTTCGGCAGCGTAACACATCCACATTTTGTCAATTACACAAAAAATACTAAACTAAAATGCTACACGAATGAGTATTACTTAAATACTTTTGCCACCTCCACATCAAGTTCCACTTTGCCAGGTAACGAGACCAATACTTCTAGCATGATAGCTGCATTATTACAGTTGATCGTCATTAAGGGTTCTAAAACACTCATGATGTTGTTTTTGAGATCGCCACCTATTTCTGCAACTCCGGTGATTAAGTTCCCATAGAAATGTCCAAATTCTTCAGACGACAAACACTTTAGCCGATACTTTATAACATCCAACTTATTCCACAATTCCATTACGCTTTCCCATCCTAAATACACCTCCGATGGTCCCTCATCGCGAATTTTGATAACCTTCCTTTCGTGAATTGTTATGAACTCAATCACCTTTGAATTTACCTTGATTGGCTGCCAAATGGGGTCCGTTGAGTAAAAATAATGGGTAAGTACCCCCTGTTGATCCACAAATGCTGCCCATTCATTTTCATTAAAGAAAATAGATTGATTTTTAACGCCACTAATTTTCACAATGGGTGAAAACAAGTGATTTGCAGATAGGGCAATCCATACATGCTTCGTTTGCGATTTATTTAAAGGATACACATGTTGAGCCACTAATTGCACGATTTGCTCTTCATTCTTCTTCTTCTTATTTTCTGGCACTTTCTTTTCTGCACTTTCCGCTTTCTCTTTAGCGCCTTGAATTAGTTTGGCAAGCTGATTCATTTTGCATTACTACTATTACATGTATTTTCAAACAAATATATACTTTAGGAACACTTGATCCCACCCGAGCTAAACGGCTCATTTGAGACCCCATCCGTTAAGGAAGGATCATGTGAGACCCCATCCGTTAAGGAAGGATCATTTGAGACCCCATACGTTAAGGAAGGATCATTTGAGACCCCAATGGGTTGTAACTAGGTCATCGAGGATTCTCTGAGACCCCACTCGCATTTTAAAAGTAGGTCAGAGGATTCTCTGAGACCCCACTCGCATTTTAAAAGTAGGTCAGAGGATTCATTGAGTCCCCATAGGATTCTGATCAGGATCTGCGCATCCCCATCCATATAGAGCCCATATGCGCGGAACCCAAGGTCAAAGAGGATCTGCGCACCCCCATTCTTTCCCTA